TTATTTTATTGCATATAATTGTATGAAAACTGCACGTATCTTACTTTGTGTTTTCAAAATACTCACTCTTACAAATTTTTACAGGCTAGTACGGGTCGATTGGAGATGTAGCGGGATGGTGCAGCGGACTGCCAAAGGATTTCACCCTACGAGAATATTAAGTTTTACCGCTTTCCTTTTAAAATTTATTAGTTTGTTTTGTCCAATAACCATAGTTGATAATGCTTAAATTGTTTTTAAAGACACGATTTATGATTCGAATTTAAATTTATGAATGTTTTGTTTATTTAGAAAAATAGAATTTTTATCGTTCCACATTTTAAGTACATGAAATTATATTTGGTAACACCTCAAGATATATGAAATTTTGAGGCGTTACAGTTGGGTTGGGTAGACTTTTTACCCAACCCAACCCAATCAAGTTTGGGTAAAGTTGGTCGATTTAGATTTTGGACGAAAAAATCTATTGGACAATAAAAAACATAAAGAAAATTGCTTCAAAACAATCATCCAAATATCCATTCAAAACTGTAAATACCAAAGTCATAGAGACCACAAATATTTCAAACCAATTGGAAAACAAGAATAAAAAACACAATCCATTTCCAGTAATTTTCCATTGACAGAGTCATCAAATGAACTTCGAGATACAAATATATGGCCTAATTTTCAAAATAATATTCACCTCAAAGTAATGCAAATGATACTAGTTACAAAAATGCAGCAGCAGTAGAAGGGAGAGTGCTTGTATAACAAATGATATAAACGTTAAACTAGTTGCAAAAATGTAGCAACAGTAGAAGACGGATAATTCCTTACAGATTACTCCATTTCACTCGAGAATAATAAGGAAAAAATTCTCAAGCAAACAATTGTATCTTCAAATTATTCAAACATTATAAGATAATAAAAACAGGGAGTAATCTAATGAAAATTAAACTATTCAACATTCTGTGAACGACTTGAATCTAATGAAATCAAAACAGCAAAAACCGTGTACAAGGAATTTAATGGGTTCATGGCTGCTACCAAATTACTTTCATTATGAGGATCAGAGGAAACATCATAAAAAGAGGAAAAAATTAAATCAGAAATTTTCAATTTTAAATTAAACTATCCCAACCCTACAAATTAAACACTACGTAAAAGTTACGGATAAATAAGGAATCTAACAGAAAAATCTTTAAAAATGGAGCAAATAACAAAAACTTAAAGAAAAAGAGAGAGAGAGAGAGAGAAAATAATTTATTGAAGAAGATTGATGAACTGACCACTATAACTATTAACGTCAACTTCAAATTAGATACAGTCAGAAATTGGAGGACAATCAGCACTGACTATCCATGGACGACCGACGACCGGAGTTGGCAACTGAAAAATGAAGATCGGTATTGGCGATTTGAGGGGAGAGTGAGAGAAAATGAGACATTGGGTTTAAGTTTATGGCTTCTGTTCTGTGATTTCGTGATTTAATTGTTTTAACACACACCAAAACTTTGGGTATAGTCACGTTTTACTCACTGTACTTCACCTTGCACTCTTCACTCACTGTACTTTATATTGTTGCACTGCATTACTCACCAAGCACTCCACTCACTTAACTTTCTATTGTTGCACTGCATTACTTGAATACGTGGAGGATGGAAATCACACCTAGCAGTTAAATATTTCCAACTCAAAAAATTAAATGACACATCATTAAATCCAAAACACCCAAACACGCCTTAGCCAAGTTTAGAATTGGAAGCGTGAACTCTTAACCCCCAAATCAAACACTCTCCAGACAAATCCCAAATCCAAGCCCGAAATCCGCATTGCAGAGAACCCTAGCCCCTATATCAAAACTCCATCACAACCGAAGGCCAAACTGTGACCACGAAGCTTGGATTTGCGAAGCGTGATTGTTGAAACGTTGACATGGATAAAAGAAATGGAGGTAATTCCAATTTTTTTTTTTCTAAATATGATGCTAACAGTCAGCTTCGTACCAGTCCTGCAGTTGTTTTTTTTTTTTCTGATAATTTTTCAACCATGTCAGCAAGAAATGTTTGTTGTCATTTTCAAAAGCTTGATGCCATGAGGAAGATAAAGAGTATTCCATTAACATTGGTGTCTGATTTGAAATTTGTCTACAATGAATTCAAATTTGAATGCGATTCCTCTAATTTCAAATTTTAGTCTCAAATTTAGACGCCTAACATCTATATTCAGGAGCATGGTTATTGTATTTGAAATAGAAATAAGTTTGTTCAAGTTGGAATAGAAGAAAGGTTTACCTGAGCTTAGGAGAGTGAAAATGGGATCTTGGAGGAGAAAATAGAGGTGCTACGCCGGGGGGGAGAGGGGCAGAATATTCATTAGATGTAATTTTGGAGAAAGAATACGATTTCATGTACTGAATGCACCTTAATTGTGAGAAGAAAACGTGAGAAATACATCGAGGAAGGTACCATTGCTTGATTGAGACCATCCTCTCACTGGATGACTATTAATTTTCATTTGCTTGTAATTTGTCATACTCATAGTATGCTCGGGTCCTGTGGATGATTAAAGAGCATACTTAGCATTTTGTTTGTTCACAGGTTTTATTACATAAGAACTGTTGGTTTAGTCCTTCAATTTTTCTTATTTATCTTCTTATATAATTTAACCTTGAACCTTGTTGTGATTTTACTCCACTAGTGATAAACTTCTTCATTCATGCTCAGTAATTTTGAATGGATGGTTTTAATTGCTTTCATCTATGAACTACCGTATCAAAAAAATTTGTTATTAACATTACATTTTTTGTTGTGTAGTAAAGAACAAGGGAATTTGCCACAGTTGTAGACAGCCAGAGCACCACTGTGGGACTATCCAAAAAAGCAACGACGTCCAAATTGTGCTTCTGGCTTTCTGAAATGGATGGGAAGTAATAAAGAATGCCGTAAACAAAAGGGAAGAAGAGAGAAGAATTAGTTTTTAATTTCATGTTTATGTAATAAGAACTAGACTTCAAGTAGAAACGTTCTTATGTGTGTGATTGATGTTGACATTTTAGTTGTTGATAGCCTTCATATAATGAGTGGTGGTGTTGAACTGCGAATTGGTACCCAGCATGTTCAAATGTTGACATTGCTTGATTTAGAGAGTGTTACGTCTGCCATTTGAACAATTCGTTACTGTTTCCTTTTAAAAGTTAAATACAGAACATTACTCAGTGGAAAGCTGTTGAGTATTAAGGGACAAAGAATCAAAAAGAGAATTTCAACCAAGACTGAAATCAATCCAAGTACAGGAATCAATAAATAGCCTTTAATGCAATCCGACATCCTAGAATCTGATAAACATACACACGAGACAGTGACGCTGAAAAACTAAAAAGAAGAAACAAAAAAAGGTCTGAAATTTACCTCGATGCGGTCCCTCCATGTGCGACTCTTCACAAATTCAAGCTTCGTTGCACGGTGGGGCCTTTGATTGTTTTTTGAGATTTGATTTGGGGATTAGGGTTCGCAGCGATTAGGAATTTGGGATTGCAATTTCCTTTGGAGAGTTCACAGTTCATTTGGAGAGAGACCCCATTTAATTTCTTTCAGGCGAGGAGCCACGATTTCAATCTGTATTCGCAAAGGCGTGTTTGGGGTTTAACTAGCTGGCTGCTGGCATCTAATTATTGACTTGGACAGATTAAACAGCCACATGTATAATCCATTTTCCAAGCCGGCATGTGTTAGTAACGAAAGTTGTTCGGTGAACAGTGGAGTGCAACTTCATCAAGTTCAATGAGTAATAATAGGGTGCAAGTTAAAGTTCAATAAGTATCTTTTAAACTAAATAGGTCAGGTTAGGCGGGTTATAAACCGAACCCACCTAAAAAATTAAAGAAAATACCGACCCAAACCTAGTTTGTTCAGTTCAATCAATTATGGCAAGTTCGATCGGGTTTTGCCCATCTCTACCACTAAGTGCACTACCAATCCTAGGGCAAAGGTCCCTAATCTTTGGGTTTAACTACATTTTCGTCTTTAATCTTTAGGAAAATTGACTACAAACATTTATCAATCTTGCGTTTTTNTCTTCAATATTTCATTGATTAGTATATCTCATCCTTGACGATGATGATTTATATCAAAATATTTTAATTTTTTTTAATTTGAAATAAAGGAAAAATATTTTTTCCACTTTTTATTTAATTATTGTTTTACCTCCATTTCAATGAATTTGTTGACATAAAGTTGTTATTAAGCCTCTGTTTGGTATCCATTCTTTTTTTCATTCTCATTCTTCTACTAATTTTCAACCACACATTCATCAATAAAATAATATTTTCCATCACATCAATAACTTTTCCTTCATTTTCAACCACAAAAAAAGTGTGATTTGACACAAAGAGTGCATTTTTTTCTAGAATAATGGTTACCAAACGGTGCCTAAGAGTGAATTTCATATGTAGTCTCTTTTGCGGAAGTGGCAATTCTCTACCTAACCAAATTTTGCCTCATTTGTGTCCCCAAACTTAAATATATTAAAAATAAGTCTCTTTTATCAATGTATTTTTAGAAAGAAAAATTATTTGTATCTTTAAATTAAAAGTACAAATTTCATCTCATTCCTCGACCAACCCACCAGAAAGTACCACCAAACCCAATTGTCACCGCCACAGCTCTCGTCCCAAACAAAATCATTCCCCCTTCAATAAAAGTCATCACCACCACCATCCCAAACGCCGCCCACTCCCAAGCAATGGCGGACTCAGGATCTAAGCTCAGCCCGGGAAGACGTTGACTAATCAACATCGACCAGTCAATGTCGACCATCAGCGATTGTAAGAGAAATGTCGTTTATTAATATTTAATTATATAATATTAAAAATTATTCAATATATATGTAAACGTACTAAAACGTAAAAATTATATATATATGAAAATATAGTTAAATACAACCAAAAGTACTTTGTATATATGTATCTGCATATTAGTTGTACAAGTAAGCCCCATTTTGATGTGTTTTGCTCTTTTAACTCTTTTTTGTATCTACTCATTTTTAAACGAACATTCACGTAATAAAATATTCTGCACAAACTCAAAAAAAAATTTCACTTTTTAATCATACATTCTCTAGAAATTCTCAATTCAAAACTTTATTTTTGGCAAATAATGGCCATCGAATAGGATTTAAATGTTTCTATTTTAGTATGCATCTACCCATCTTGTATGATTATGTCTCGCATGTCTAAAAAAACGTTTACTAATTTGCTCCATCCAATGATATAAAAATCAATTGAGATACTCCAATGGACCGGATTGTTAACTTTTAATAGCATCTTTTTGCCCTTTCATTCCTTGTGGTCCACTTCCATATCTACTTAGGGCGGGACGGACTTCATCAAGCTGCTCTTTGACAGAATAATCTATGAGGGGCCATGGAGAGCCGAGTAGTACATACTTCCGTACCCTAGTCTGATTCACCACTTCTTATCTGACTTAGGGATAGCTGATCTAACCTCTTATAGATACTCATCATCCATTCCTACCTCAGGAGTGCGTGAGTATGCTAATTTGTACGGTATTCCAATTTCTGTTTGTTAGCTCCTGTCAACCTTGTTAATGAGCTCCAACAACAACAACCTCTAACATTGAAGAATAGAGGTGAACTAAACAATCTTCTTTATGTGTGAAGATGAAAAAAAACAGAGGAAAGAATAGAGGAGGAACAGGGAAAAAACAAAAAAAAAAAAAAAACGAGAGAGACTGAGGAGAACAGAGCACTCAAAGTCACTGGCGAAGCTGCTGCCTGCTGGTGCTGGGACTGGAACTCGAAGCTGCAGGTGCTGGAACTGGAGCCTGGAGCGGTGGAGCCTGCTTCGCCGAATCGCATGCCGGTCGTCTCTCACTCTCTCCCTCCTCAACTCCTCGAAGGTTTGGGTTTCAATTTGAGGATTTGGATTTTGATTTGGATTTGGTTTTTTGTAGTTGTAGTGATGGGTTGCAAATATACATTGGGCCTTATGGTTTTGAAAAAAAAGGCCCACGAAGAAGCAAGTTTACAAAGAAAAAAAAACTCCCATCACCGGCTGCTGCCTTCCCGGCGGACCCAGCATGGGCGGTCGCGGGGGCTGGCCAGGTGCTGGGTCCGCCCCTGCTCCCAAGGGTATTCTAGAGCGGGCAATATTAATAGGCGGAAGGAACAATGTAATAACCCGACAATACTAAAATAACATACTTTAGAATTTTGGTTTTTTAGTATTTTAGATTCTATTTTTTTAATCAAAATTTTTACTTTTTTATTTTAAGAAATTTCTTACTTCTTGAAATTTCAAATTGTATTATTCAGAATTTTATTTTACATTTTATAAATTTTTAATTTTTTAATTTTATTCTAATAAAACTTCATTTAAACACTTAGAGTTGTTCTCTTTGTGTTTCAGTTTTTTGTTGGGAAAAGTTTACAAATCAGGCTTTAAGTTTCACAATTGCAAAAATCAAGTATTAAGTTTAAAAAATGCAAAACTCGAGTTTTTAGTTAATTAATTAAAAATAATTATTATTCAAATATAATAAATTCACAATTATACAGTTAATAGTCACATGTACATAATTATAGGTTACAACTTATTTATTGGTCATATATTATTAAATTAATTGATCACAGATTATTTCGAGGTCACAAATCAAAAATTTTATACGTCACAATTTATTTCATTGGTCACATATCAAAAAGCTTATAGGTCATAGTTTATCTATCGATCACATATTTTCAAATTTGTTGGTCACAAATTATTTTTTAATCACAAATTATCGAATTTTAAGGTTATAGTTAATTGTTAGTCACAATAAACACCAAACACCCGACCTCGATCTCGATCCACCACCGATACTTGATCACAAATTAACCAAATAATTGGTCCCAAACGTTATCCCACTACCGCCTCCTCCAACAACACACAACCCCCCTCCCACAAACGCCTACTCCAACACCACACACCACCTCCACCTCCACCTCCAACTCCAACTCAAATCAACCACCGCTGCTAACTTTGGGGATTTATTCCAATAGTACCACACCCACATAAACAACCCAACCATCGTGCGTAAAATCCCCAAACCACCGCACCACCGCCACCACTATACCAACCAGAAATAGATGCAGAAGAGGGGGAAAAAAAGATAAATGACGACGGTGCGAGCGTCGGCTATATGAAACAACCACCATGCTATTTACTTGTTTTATCTTTTCACATATATTTTCTGTTCTGTATTCTGGCGAATGACATAATTTTTGCAATAATGGAGTCTTCGAAAGAGACTGGTTGCCAAGCGCCAGAACGCCCATTATTTGCTTCAACAACTGGCTTCTTTGGAACTGCGGCTACCATGAATATGTGCTCCAAGTGCCACAAAGACACGATTATGAAGCAATAACACGCCAAACTTGCAGATTCTTCCATTGAGAACTTGGTTAATGGCGTCTCAGGCAGTATTGTGAAAGAGCCTCTCATGACTGATGCAACGGATGTGCACGCTGGAGCAGTGGAGTCGAAGGCCGCATCTAAACACATGTCATCTTATTTATATTTAGGTCAAAGTTCAGAAGAGGGAGATGAAGCCGTGTTCGCCGGTTGCTAGAGAGAGAGAAGGGAGAGAAATGAAGAGGGAAAAGATGAAGAGAGAGGGAGAGAGAGAGGGAGAGATATGAAATAAAATTAGGGTTTGAGTGGGTATAATATTTAATTATTAATTCAATACTTGAATTTTGATTAAAAAATCTTCACACCTAATTTTTACACTTTGAAGTTTAAACATCTGGATTTATGTAATTTTCCCTTTTTAGTTTTTAGTTTTGAATTCATTTTGGATTTTGTATTTTTGAATGTCTATTTTGATATTATTCAAAATGCGTTCTTTTTGTCATTTTGAAAAATTATTTACAAAAGTAAAAAAATGAAGGGGTTGTTCTTTTTGTATTTCAATTTGGCGTTTTAAGTTTTGAATTTATTTTGGGTTTTGTATTTTGAGTATCCATCTTGAAATTGTAGAAAATGTGCTCTTTTTTGCATTTTCAAAAATTAGAAAATGGAAAACAATTTTTCTTCCCCTCATCACTTCACTGGTTGGGTCTTGACTGTGGCAATGGGGGTATTTCTGGAGGCGATTTTCCGGTGATTGGGTTGCAATTTTAGCTTGGTGGTGGAGGTCTTTCTGGTGGCGATTTTGGCGGTGGTGGTGCAATGGTGGTCGGGTGCAGTGATGGTTGGCGGTGGTTGAAAACAACGAAAATGGTTTTTGAAAATTTTAGTCAAATTATAATTGAAAACGCTCAAAACGACAAGTCGTTTTGGATTTTCTTTGTAAATTTTAGACTTGTTTTCAAAAATACGTTTTCGAAAATAGGAAAGATAACACATTTTCACTACTTGAAAGATCGAAAACAGAAAACGGCTTGAAAATGGCGAAGAGAACATGCCCGAAGTTTTGGCTTGATTTTAACTGAAAACAATCAAAACGACTTTTTTGGCGTTTTCCGTTTTCTTTGTAAATTTTAAATTCGTTTTTGAAAATAGGTAAATAAACGTGTTTTCAATGTTTTCGAAAATTGAAAAATGAAAATAACTTGAAAACAGTAAAGAGAACAAACCCTTATTTTCCAAAAACGTGTTTTGAGAACACTTCAGAAAAATGTTTTTGAGTTTTATGTTATAAGTTTAAATTTATTTTCGAAAATACATTTTCAAAAAAACGAGACCAAACAAGTTTTGGGTATTTTACGAAATTGAGAACTAAAAATCGAAAACAACTAAAAATTGCAAATCAACGCACCCTTATTTTTTCCGGCAACAACAAATAATAAAGAATCACAGTAACACGCTCTTCAATTTTGATATTTCAGGTATCAAAATATGAAAAGACATTTAATTCGAAATTTTAATATGAGTAAAGATAGAGAAAAAAATAAAAATCAAAAATCAAACATTGTTTAAATTGCTCACTCGAATCTGCCCCTGAAGAACTTCAGCTCCAGTCCAAGTTTATAGCAGTGATTTTGTAACGTGTCGTGGCGGCTGCAGTAGATTTATACGTTACAGCGACGGTAGTTGTTGATTAATTGCTCAGAAATTGTTTTTTCTATAGTCCTAAATTTGTGTAGCTTTGTTGGTTGGATTTGTGGCGGAAGTTCTTGGGTATTTAGAATTAAATAGGTACATAAATATTTGCTACACAGATTTCTATTTTCTATAGTGATTGAGATTAGGGGTGGACATAATGTTCAAACCGAACCAAGCAAAACAAAACTAGAATCAGGCCAAATCAAGTGGTTCGATTCGGTTTTAAAAAAAAAATGTAAGGGTTTTGATTTTGGTTCAGTTTTAGTTCTAGAACCGAGAACCAGAATCAGAACCAAACTTAATTTTTTTATTTTTTTATATGATATTAATTAGTGCATACCCTAATTTTGTATTCATTGGAGACAAATTAGTAATTGAGTCTGGATTATTGGAGATAGTGCATTAATTGTATACATCCTAATTTTTGTATTCATTTGAATCGTTATCTTTCACTCCTTTTCAATTTACACAATATCGCGACATGGCAACACTGCATTTCATCATGTTAGTGGAGGAGACTTTTACAAGATTGGAAAATGAATTTGGTCAATTACTTAAAAAACTTTTAAACTATTTTTTCACCTTGATTGTTTGATGAATTATTTATCTTCTTCACAAATAGAGGAAAATCCAATAAACATTCATAGAGTATTAAATGATCAATGATTGCTTGTAGTGGATTGTAAAATTTTTGTATAATTCATACTGTATTATGGAAGTGTGCCATCAATACTGCTACAATTAATCTAGTGAATCATTGTTGTCATTTATTAGACAATCTTTTGTATAGGAATGGAAATTGATTTGATATTCGAATTATGAATGTATTTTATTTGTTATTTTGGACTTTTGTGATCTCGATGATTGATAATTTGAACTTGTTGTTTGATGTTTATTTATTTTATTTATGTATATATTACTAATATATGGATACGGTGCAAGTTTGAAAATTATAAGAAATAACTAGAATCAAACAGAACTTGAATCGAAAGGTTCGATTCCGATTTGATTCCACATGTTAAAAAAAGAACCCATTTGTTTCCATTATAAAAATACAATTGGTTCATGGTTCGATTCAGTTCAGTTCAGTTTTCTTGAAATAAGAACCAAATGGAATCATGTTCATCTGACTATAATTTTGTGAAGATTTTAATCAAAATTTTGAACGTTTAGACGCAATGATGGATTCCATTTTTGTAGTCATTATTGCTTGCACAAACCACCAAATACCATAAATGCCCTATCTGTAGAATAAGAAATTAAATGTTAAATGACACATTGGACATTTTAATTGATTCTGTAAACTTTTGTGGTCACCGTTAATGACAAATCAATGTATAACGAAAACAAAATGAATTGGGATAAAGTAGATTAGTAATAGTTTCTAAATATTAGGGACGAAAAATGCAAATTTCTCTAAACAAAAAGTAAACACAAACTGGAGTCAATTACCGTTGAAGGGAAAATACGCGATTTCACGGGCTTACTTGAACTAAGACAATCCTTCCACTTCCCAATCAAATTCCCGTATATTCGGACAGTCACGATTCACGAGTATTTTAAGGTCCCTAAATCGAACGTCTCTCTCTCTCTCTCTCGCGTAGATATTCGCAAAAGAGGAAATCTTCAGATCCGATCTCTGCAGATCCACGCAAGAAAAGATGTCATCGAAATTCAGTGGCGATGAAACGGCACCGTTCTTCGGCTTCCTCGGTGCCGCGGCTGCCCTAGTTTTCTCCTGTAATTATCCCAACCTACAGATCTATGGTCAAAATACCAATTTCATTACCGGCTTCTCTAATTATAGTTATTGTTTTGTAGGTATGGGTGCGGCATATGGCACGGCGAAGAGTGGCGTCGGTGTGGCGTCTATGGGTGTGATGCGACCGGAGCTGGTGATGAAATCGATAGTTCCAGTTGTTATGGCTGGTGTTTTGGGTATTTATGGATTGATTATTGCTGTCATCATCAGTACTGGAATCAACCCCAAGGCCAAGTCATACTACTTGTTTGATGGCTATGCTCACCTTTCTTCTGGCCTCGCTTGTGGCCTTGCTGGCCTTTCTGCTGGTATGGCCATTGGAATTGTTGGGGATGCTGGTGTTAGGTGAAATTCTTTGCCCTTCTTAATGATAATTCATTTATGCAATTTTCCACCTGTATAGACAGTGATTAAAGATCTATGGATTCCCATAGTCTAAGCATAGGCCACCATAAGAATTCGGATTTGATTTGTGCATTGTAATTGAGAGATTTAACAATTTGTAATTCAACTTTATGATTTGAATTTGAAGTATTCCCACAATTTGAATGTTGTTAAAAAAAATTATTGGGTTTTCTTGTTAATCTGGCATGTGACATGAACTTAGTGGTTTACGCAATTGTTTCATTAATTGAATTTCAAATTGGTATATGTCAATATGTCTATTCAGATTTTGATGACCAGTTTCATTTTAGGGATACTGTAAGTTAAGAATATTTTTGAAATGTAGTGGATATTGGTGTTCATTGCTTTGTTAATCATGTATAATGTATTTATGTTGACTGTTCAGTGATCTAATCTTTCAATTTGGAGGATTTTGTAATTGTACTAGAATAATATTGTGTCCTATTGAATCTTTTAATACATTTTTGGAGCTTTTGAAAAATGCTTTATTTATTACTTGTATGTTCAGTTAATTTCCTTTAGCCCTTTTGCATGATGATTTGCATTTAGCTTAGTCTCATTAACGAGTAAGCAAGTAAATCTATTAATTGACTGCCAGATCTATTTTTGCTTAATACTTATAGTTGAAAATCACTGGAGTGTTTTTCTTGAATCAGAAGCCAATCAATTAGTTTATCCATCTCTCTCAAGTGGTGTGCAATTCCATAGCACCCAGGCATGGAATGAATGGGTTCTTTTTCTGTTTAATAGTGACTAATACATGTATGCAACCTTCACTCTTAGGAATATTATTTAACCCTCATTTATATGTTGTGGCATAGATCCCTAGACTTCAAACAGGATTCAAGGAGGAAAAACCAACTGTAAATTGATTTTATTTTATATGCAAGTTATAATATGAGGTATCTAGCCAATCTCGTTAGACATAAATTTGAAATGTTATGTCTCTTCAAATGAACTTTTGGAAAGTTCATCCCTGGAATGAATACTGCTGTTTTCCTTGGTTAAAATTGACCATGACTCCTGTCTGGGTCATTTATGTTTATATCCATTCCATTCAAATATGTTTTGTGTCTTTGTTGTTGTCTATTATGTTTTGTGTCTTTGTTTGAGTTGCCTGTTCATTTATTTAGGAGGAAATTATTGTAATTTCCATTGTCTGATTATATTCTCTTTGACAGAGCCAATGCACAACAGCCAAAGCTCTTTGTTGGGATGATTCTTATTCTCATTTTTGCTGAAGCACTGGCTCTTTATGGTCTTATTGTTGGCATCATCCTCTCTTCTCGTGCTGGTCAGTCTAGAGCAGACTAGAAGAGGACATTTGGCTTGGCAGCTGCAGTTTGTTACTATCTATACTGTGTTCCTGGTTAGAAATATTAGTTTGGTCAGCAATGTTTTTAGGTTCAATCTTTATCTTTATGTGGCTATTGCTTGGCTTAAAGAAGAGGACACACTTGATTTGTGATGATGGTAGATAGAAGTTCTGGACTTTTGGTTTTCCCTAAATAAAGTTCTCCATTAATTTATATGTTCTGTATGTTGCAAGACAATGTTTGGTTTGTTGAAGATTTGCTTGTATTATTTTTGCGGAAATATCATTCTTTTTTTATCAGTATCATTTTGCAAGAATTCTGAGATTTTGCTGTTAACTGTTACTATATTGACAAATGAGTACTCAACTGTTCCAACTATCTATCGCCAGGAGGTTGAAGGGTTCTATTGTTCTCGTGTTTCCTTGAATTATCAAAAGCCCCTTTCATGCTAAGCTCTCTCCTCTGGAAGTGTCATCTGATGCTCTTAGTGTTTTGCGTCTTTCTTTCTACTTGGTGTTTCATGTCTGTAGGTTGAGGGTCTCTACTTGCTTTCTGTGCAAGGAGATGTTGAGGGATTGAGCAGTCCAGTACATTATGACGTTCCATGACATTTATATGTATGTCAGACTAAAGGCGTTTTGACTCTCTGTGCTTGCAGTAGTGCCCACATAATCAAATAATCACCTTTTTTACGAATTTTTCAGAACAAAGCAAACCAATGGAGAGAAGGCTTTCAGATGTCTATTTTGCTAACGTGACAAACACGTAAAAATCACCAAAAGAAAAGAGTTCACATCATGAAATGTGTAAGATTACGAGTCTGCGAAAATGTATGTATAGGTAAGATGCTGCATGTCTTGTTACTACTTTACCAGTTTGAGCATCATTTTTTGAGTAAAATACATTTTGAAATAGTAGATTGATGGAGGATGTGTTGGTAAAAGTGAAGGAAAATTTTTTGGATTGCGTGTAATATTATTTTATTAAAAAATGTGCAGTTGAATGGAAGAAAAAGAAAAACTTCATTTGAAAAAAATGGGTATCAAACAAGGTAATGATTATGTACTAATGCAATTTGTAGAAGAGGAAATACATGAAAATGACCTTTACACTGTAGTTTATTTCCAGAGTGACCTTTGATTAGAAAATAGAATAAAAAAAAAAAAGGTCAAAATATATGTTTAACTTCCAAAAAGCCAAAAATACCCTCAATTTGTCAAAATGAACATTCTCATAGGCGATTGACCCATCTCACCGACCGGCCATCTCCTTCACCGACCCATCTCACCGACCGGCAATCTCCTTCACCGACCCATCTCACCGGCGACTTGAAAGGTTGGTATTTGTCATTAAAAGTGAGGGTTTTCATAAATTTACTTCGAATTTATGTACTTTTATTTTCTTTATTTAGTTTTGTGTGATTGTGGAGTTG